CAGAACAGGCAGACCGACTGAAATTCACTGCTGGGGGAACAGTGGGCGAGACAGGAGAGGTCTGCTGCGCCATGTGGTTTGCTCCCTGGCCAGCTGGGGATTGAACTCATGCTGCTGTATCTTCATAGTTTGCGTCTTAACCCCTTGTGCCACCAGGGAGGCCCTCTTTTTTTTTTTTGTTAAAAGTGTTATTTATTTATTTTTAAAGTTTTATTTATACAAGAACTGGAGTACAGGCCAAATGTGCTGGAGGGTGACAGGACTCACCAGAGACAGAGCCGGGAACAGACTGACAGACTGGCCGAGGGGAGCAGCGGGTGAGACAGGAGAGGTCTGCCATGCCATGTGGGAATCTCCCTGGCTGGCCTGGATCGAACCCACGCTGCAGAGGCTGCGGACAGTTTCATAGTGCTGCGCTCAACCCCCTGCGCCACTAAGGAGGCCCTCTCCTTTTATTTTCTTATCTTACTAGACCTGCACTTCTCCTTCCTATACCTGAGAAAAATTTTGGAAGGCTGAGTTGACACAACTTTTCTCTTTCTATCTTATTCTGTTTTACTTTTTCCGTAAGAACTTGTTCCTATCTCAGACATAAGTGTATGATGAATTATTAATGACCATGGCATTTGTTTTTCTGTCATCATGAAAGATTTAGTAGCTCAACTCATGTTATAGGATTCAGAGAGTTGAAACTAGGTTTTAATTTTTGTTAAGAAAAATACTGTACTGCTTCAATGGTGATTATTTTTTCCCCTTCATTTGAAGGACATGGTTTACAAAGTTCAGAATGAGTGGGCCTCGTAGTTTGGTAAGAAGAGACTATTTAAGTACATTTGAACATTAATAACCAGGGCATTTATACGAAGGCATACTACATTGTCACTTAGAAGAATGAGAAAGTAATAAGTAATGAGTAAGTAATAAATAATAAGTAATAAGTAATAAGATTGTTTTGGAAGGCTATTCTAGAACATATAACTGAGTAAAAAAGTAGATTGGATAGTTGCAGATCTAGAGTGAGTTTGTTTTTGCTTAAGGGACGCTCCAAAACACCCCAGATTATATGTAGATACACATATAAATGGATCTAGATCTCCAAGGGTGTAAAATAAATGTTTCACTTATTTATATTATTTTAATAATAAATGTAATAAATAATGTATTTATCATAATATTATAGCAAGTTATTAAACTTTTTATTGTATTTATAGGTGATTTCCATCAAGGAAATGGATTGCAGATGATGAGGGTTTCCATTTTTAACATTTTATATTTCTGTATTCAAATTATAAATACTGAGTGTGATTCTTTTTAACATAAAAAATGATGAAAGCATCGATGATGTGATGTTGGGGTATATTCTTCTGATAAAATACCATTTCCTTAAATCCGGGACATCTTTTTTTAAAAAGAAAGTTACTAGGACTTTAGTGTGCTTACTTCACTTCATATTAGAACCAAAGAGAGCAAGAGCGACATTAGCCAATATGTTGGTGACAATAGCAGCTTCTAACCAGCACAGTAGCTGATGCACTCAGGTGACTCTCTGCACATGCTTTTGCTTTTCTTCGGTTATTTGGTCCGCAGTTTGCATTCATTGATCAGTGAGTTGATTTAGACTCAAACCCACCGACAGCAATGAATGTTGAGTGCAGCCATCAGTGTTCCCAGTTGGTGGAGCTGCCTTGGCCCTCCCTCACTCCATGTTCTTCCTTTCCACATTTTGAGGCATGTGTTTGTCATCTCCTTTAGTAAGCAATGGTAAAGGGCCCACATAATTATAGACTACTCTGACATTAGAGCTGAGTGGTTCTTAAAGATGGTGAAACTATGATTCAGAAATGGGAAAGGAGCTTCTGGAGAAACTAATAAACAGCTCTGTAATCACAGAGACAGTGCTTGCATACTGGTAGGCATAAACAAGAACTGAGGCCTGAGAGGTATGAATGCTTTTCAAGGGAAATTAGCACAGATTATATTTTGGGTTAAATAATAATAATAGCTTAATAGATTGAACATTTGCCATGTTCAAGGAATGGCACAAAGCACCTTCTGTGTCATCTCATTGAATCTCAGAATTCCATGAGATAGGTTTCCTATCTTAAACATGAGAAAACTAAGACACTTGCCCAGGGTAATACAACTAGATAGAGAGCTGAGCCGAAATTCTCAGATCTGTCTGATCCCAGACCTTTTACTTAAGTTTAAAAACATTCAAGTGCATAGGTGTGGATGAAAGTAGTGAGGCAATAGTTGATATCAAACAGTTCTTATTCTGATGGGACTGTCAGCCACGTTCATTATAATTGAAGGTGGAATGTGATGAAATTCGTGCAAACATTGGGCAGTTTTGTGGTACTTTTGCTTTTTAAATTCTCCATTTGCCCCTAATTGAAAACTTTGAGGGAATATGAGAGAACTGGGTATAAAATATTTAACTGGGTTTCACACCAAAACCAAAAAGCATTTGTAATTCCTCCTTGCTGTATCTAGTTTCTCACCAGAATGACATATTTCTAGGAAACATTTAAGACGTTAGGCATTGTTATGGAGCTCTCCTTATTGTCTTGAAATTAAATACTAATTTATGAAAAAAAAACACATAATAAGAAGCAAGGGAAATAGAAATAGATGGGAACTTTAAACAAATTTACTGCACCACATTTGGGGGAACAGGCAGCAAGAATGTTTCAGATGATATCATGTGACATATGAAGATAAGCTTGCTCCTTTACTTCAGGAAATGTGATGTCTGTAAAGACCCCAAGGTACAGTCAACGGTCAGTGGTTTTTTCAAATCCAAACTCACCGACAGCGTTGAATGTTCCTTGGAGTCCTCTGAAGGCTGGATCCTGACCCTGGCAGTTCCTTCTTCAGCCTGCACCCACATTCCAGGAGCCACTAGACTACTGTTGATGAAGGCTTTCACATTCTTTTCCAGGTTTCAAGTTTGAGAGTATTTAAATCATGAAATCTATTGTACAGCAGAGAGTTAACAAACTTTAGTATTGTGAGACTGCAGTTACTTATATAGTCAGATTCAAATGACTAAAAATGACTTTGAATGGTATTGTTTTGTAATTATGGGAATGTAAAATAAACCATTTTACAGTTATTTTAATTATTAAAGGACACAGGTGTAAGAAAGCAATTAACATATCGAGAACCTGCTGTGCACTGAGATTTGTATATTTTTATTTCACTAAGGTTTATTTCACTAGAGTATAGTTTTTATGTCATAAAAGTATCAGCATCCCACTTTTATGAGAAAATTGAGTCTTAGAGAAATGTAGTCATTTGCCCAGTAACATAGCCAAGAGCCAAAATTACATGTTAGAACGTGAATACTGAGCTTTGTGATTCCAGAGCTCACTGTCTCCTCCCTTGTCCACCACAAAACTTGTGTATCTGTAGTAGAATCTTCAGTGCATTCCCAGATCAAACAAGTAGCCTCTAAGAAGAGTAGGTAGGTGTGTAGTGAAATGTTTCATAGATAAAGATGAAAAAATTTTCCTCTATACTTGGTGATCTTCCTAGCTAAAACCCTGAATCAGCAAGTTATTGTAGAAGTTCAGTGGTGGTCTAAACTAAAACTTATTTTCCATATTCAAAAAAGCAAATAAAATATCCCTGCTACATAAGAGAAAGCCCACATTGTCTTCCATAAGTTCACTGAGGATAACTGAAACATCAGTTGTCTTTGCTTTTGGCTGAGAGGTTATCCGTGCATTGTAGACATATTGGTTATTGCTTATTGGTGGTTGAATGTTGTTGATGAAAACTCTGGAAAATGAATTAATTATAAGGAACTTCTTAGGGTTTATAATGGGAGGGGTTCAGAAATGCTCAGTAGAAAAGGGGCTGACAGAATTGCTGGCTGAATTGAGGTTAATCTTCAGTCAGGAATGATTATTACCACTTGCTTTAGGTTTAAATATTATAGGTTAACTATTCACGAATTCATTTTTTTAAAATATTTATTTATTTATGCATACAAGAGCTGGTGTACAGGCCAGAGATGTGGGGAGGGGTGAGAGGATTCACCAGGCACAGAGCGGGGAATAGAACAGGCAGACTGACTGAAGTACACTGCTGAGGGGAGCAGCAGGCGAGACAGGAGAGGTCTGCTCCGCCATGTGGTTTCTCCCTGGCCAGCTGGGACTCAAACTCGTGTGGCAGAGGCTGTGGATTGCTTCATAGTGCGGTGCTTAACCTCTTACGCAGTAGGGAGGCCCAATATTCAGACTTTCAAAAACTGGTCTGCTACTCCAAACCATTACATATTTGTAAATTGCCATTGCATGAATTCATGGCATTGGAAGAAGAATGTTTTTCATAGACTTGAAAAACTTTAGAAGAGTGAAAGATGGCATTCTAGAAAGATATAGGGATTTCCATTATGTTTGAGATCATTAACATTAATGACAATAAAGATCTTCACCTACCTCATTATTTAATTTGCTATAAGTCCTTAATTCTAGTTTTTAATCATCAAGCAAATTGAAGGTACACTTTGGGATCTTTTTTTTTTTTAAGATTTATTTATGTATACAAGAACTGGGGTACAGGCCAGAGGTGGGGGGCGGGGTGAGAGGATTCACCAGAGACAAAGAGGGGAACAGAAGAGGCAGATTGCCTGAAATACACTGCTGAGGGGAGCAGTGGGCAAGTCAGGAGAGGTCTGCTGCGCCATGTGGGTATCTCCCTGGCCGGGGATAGAACTCATGCTGCAGTGACTGCGGATAGCTTCATAGGTTGCATCTTAACCCCTTGTGCCACCAGGGAGGCCACATTGGGGTTTTTAAAATTAATTTGACTAAAGGTTTTATGTATTCAATGCCAGGATAAAGTATATGGGTTAAAAAAGTTAAGGGTAAAAGTTAAGGGCTAAACTAATAATTATTGAAGCTAATAATAAGTTGATTCAATTGTTTAATTCCTGATTTAGATTGATTTTGAGTTTGTCAGAACTTATCATGCCATTTTATTATTTCACTTACCTCTTTGCTTTGCTTTTCCAGATGTACTAGGAAATACTGAAACCCACATTGCTCCAACTTGGAGATGTAAATATTTTCATTATCTTCTGTGGCCTCTTGATACACTTGAAAGAAAAAAGAAGCATAAACTCAATGGAATAGTTCATTTGAGGAATTGGTAGCATAGAAAATGGTCACTGTCTAAAGTGGCTGTTTGCCTAGACATTTTCCAAACACTATACAGGGAGCATCTCTAAAAGTATTTTGGGTAGTACTCTTTCTTTGAGGACAAATTCTTAAATTACAAAGATGACAATGGCATGTCAGTATGAATCAGTGTTCTGCTTCCTTCTTTTACCATTTCAGCTGGCCTTTGCCATCCTCAAGCCTACTGTCTACCCAGATCACTAGGCATATACACAGTGCTGGCAGATACAGAGGATGATTGCTCTGCTGGCAGAATGGTATGAACCTTATTAAGGGAGAACAGAGAAGAGAAAGGTTAATTCTGCCTAGCAGAGCCAGGAAAGGCATAACTAAGTGGTCACATTTGATCTGTGCCTCAAAAATTTAGTTGAATCTTCAGTAGACAGAGAAGGTTTATGTATGTGAAGATGTGCAGATGTAATTGCTAGGTTCTCATTGCTTTTGGCTCATAGATGCTGAAATAGAATCAGTAAAGTTCCTTATTATAGGCATTTCCAACTTGAATTCTTATTTGGCTTTCTCTTATTTTTTCTTTTAAAGTGACCATAATTTAAAATTCTCATATATTAAATATTTGGAGAAGCACTATTAAAATATAATAGAGAACATAAACTTTTGAGCCAGAATCTTGACTTTGCTTGCAGCTTATTAGCTATGTCACCTTGGGAAAAAATTTTAACTTTTCTGTTTCCTTATCTATAAAGTGGAGTTGATAGTTGGCCTACCTATAAGACTGTTGTAGGAACTAAATTGGTTAATATCTGTCAGGTGTGTAAAAATAATACCTAATACATGTTAAAAGCTCTATGTTTTTATGTTATTTCAAAATTATTTAAATTGTTAAAATCACTTACAAACTTATTTACATGATAATAAAATACATGTTTTCTCAGAATTTGGTTTCTGGTCTATATACATTAAATGTAAAAACCTTTCATAGTTTGATTCTCTGACTAGCTGTTAAGACTGTATGTGTACACAAGTATGTTTTAAAGAGTTTTTTTTTAATTAATGCTCTACCTCTTTCTTTCTGACCTTAGGTAAAGCTTTTATCTCCCATAAACTTCAGTTTCCTTAGTCCATAAAAATGATAGTGGTGGGCCTCCCCTGGTGGCGCAGCGGTTGCACGCTGGGCTGCGAGGCTGCCCGCAGCCTCTGCAGCGCCAGTTTGTTTCCTGGCCGCCGGTGAGGGTCCCACAAAAAAAAAAAAAAAAAAAAAAAAATTTTTTTGCACGATCTAGTCTTATCACTTGTATAATGTTACTGTTTTTTGGAAGTCTCAATCACCATCTTGTTAGGAATAGCTCCTTGCCCACAGTCACCATTATTTAGTCACACCTTACCCTGTAGCATAACCTGTCTGTTGAAACTGGACAGTAATGACTAGACATTGATGGGCCCTGGGAAATCTATTATTTAGACTTCACTAAGTTCTGCACTACCTGCCATTAACCAATATTGCTGGTACTTACCATTAACCAGTAACTGCTTATTATATAGTTAGAATTTCTGTAAGAAATTGCCAGATGAGAAGTTACATAAAAATAAATGAATTTAACAATCTTTATTTTACAGCAGTTCTCCATTTCTCCCCCCCCTTTCTCCAGCAACCCTGACCCAGCACTATGATAATTCATTATGGCTTTAAGTTAGGTTGGAAGAATTTGTTGTTTCAAAAGGAGTTTACTCAAAGGAGTCTACTAAATTCAGAGTATTGAATATCACTAAGGGAGAAAAAAAAAAGTGTACCAAAGATTGCAGTTGCATATAGGATTACTGGTCATTGTTATATTTATCCTACTTGAGATTTTACCAAGGAATGGAGAGGTAAGGATAGAAATTTAACCCTTTGCACTCCGAACCATTTTACGATATTTTGATTTAATTTCTTGTGCCATTTCAAGATAAAACTTCAGGGAAACATGCATGTCTCAAAAAGTTGCGTTGAAATAACCTTAATTCCCCGTAATCACTAATAAATTGCAATGTCCCCTGAGAGGGGACATCCGAGCGATATGCTAGAATTCTGCTGTCCCCTGAGAGGGGACAGCGGAGTGCAAAGGGTTAAACTGAATAGCTTGGTACATTTTACCATATTTGACATGGCAACTTTCTATCAGGTTATCTAAGATATTTTATTTTTTATTTTATTTATTTTTTAATATTTTATTTTTTATTAAAGATTTATTTTTATTTATTTATTTATTTGTTTGTTTATACAAGCACTGGGTACAGTCAGAAGTGTGGGAGGGTGAGAGAATTCACCAGAGTCAGAGCAGGGAGCAGAGCAGGCAGAAGGACCGAAGTACACTGCTGAGGGGAGCAGCGGGCGGCAGGAGAGGTCTGCGCGCCATGTGGGACCCTCCTCCGGTGGCCGGGGAGCAGCCGGGGATCGAACCGGCGCTGCAGAGACTGCGGGCAGCTTCGCAACCCAGTGCTCAACCTCTGCGCCACCGGGGAGGGCCCTATCTAAGATATTTTAGATGAGTCTGGAAGATAAAGAGGTCAGCAGGCCAAGACCCTGAGCTTGCAAATTGGCCTAAGGCCAAAGGCAGTATTTCTCTTCAAATGGGACATGTACTTCAAAGCCTCTTGAAATATCCTAAGGCTAACTGAGTTCTCCATTCTCCAATTACAGTGACTTTTTGTTTGAGAGATGACTATTTTAGATTATTTTTGCGAACCCACAGGAAGAAGGACTTCATTTTCCCATGATGAATTCACAGGTTATCTGGAACCAATGAACAATTCTTCTAATAACTCTGCACAGAGGATTGTTGTTTAACTGAGTGAAAATGTGAGCTAGGAATACCAAGTCATGAAACAAATAGAATCCAAAATCATACAATACAATAGCTAATATTCATGGGACTTAAGGAATGAGCTGGAGAAAAAATTGGGTTTTATCGAGTGTATGAGAAGTATGGGCAGAGATTTAAAAAGTCCTCTAAAGTCAACGAACTTGTTTTATAATAAACCAGTTGATGGAATAAACAGTGATCACGGGACTCAGTCTATCTTTTTACAATAATGAAACCCTCTCATGTATCGATATTACTATGTATTTCTTCCCTGACCTATTTCAGTTTGTTGGGTTAAAGCTAAGTATATGGCACTTTATGTTTTAAAGTCTTAATATGTGTTCTTACTAAGTTTATTATTGTTTCAAGTAAATTATAGTTTTATGTTAAGGCATTGCAAATTATAGATAACTAGACATACTCATTCTACCACTATTTAGTTATTCATAGCATTTAGAAAAATGTTCTTTAAATGTTTTCCCTTACTATTTCTAGCAAATAGTTGAATCTTTTCAAATGATGTCTTAAAAGTTTTGTTTTTGAATGTACTCTAAAAAAGCTGTTCTTCAATCTACTACTTCATACTTTCATAAATGTAATCATCCTATATTAGATCTGCTAAGCTATCAATAATTGACATATTACTTTTAGCCTTCTGTCTCCGTTGCTAACATGAAATCAGATAATGCTGATGATTGAGTGGGAATACTAATTGTTAATGGGGAGGGGAAATCTAAGTATGAAATAGTAGAAAACAAGTTCTAGTCTATAATTTTTTAAACTTTCAAAGTTCTCCAGGAGTCTTTTAAATCTTTTTTTTTTTAAAGATTTATTTATTTTAAATAAAGTAAGAACTGGGGTACAGGCCATAGGTGTGGGTGGTGAGAGGATTCACCAGAGACAGAGTGGGGAACAGAACAGGCAGATTGACTGAAATACATTGCTTAGAGGAGCAGTGGGTGAGTCAGGAGAGGTCTCCTGTGCTGTGTGGGTATCTCCCTGGCTGGGGATCGAACTTGTACTGCAGTGTCTGCGAACAGCTTCATAGGTTGCATCTTAACCTCTTGTGCCATCAGGGAGGCCCTTAATCTTTTAATCCAGAAGTCATTTAATCTAACGATTTTCAAACTTAACAGTGCATCAGAAGTTAAAGTGGTGGTCTTGGGAAATGTAGCTTGCTAATTGTGCAGAATTCTGGACGTCACCTTTAGGTTTACAGTAAATCAAATCCTTTAGGTGTGAGATGTATAGTGTCAAAAGTCCCCATGTGATTCTGATGTCATTTCATGGACATTTGAGAAGCTCTGATTGAGGCTCAGACCTTTTTTTTTTTTTAAAAAAAGTAAACTATTCAGAAGGGAGATGAAGACCTCAGGCTACATTGCAGTGTCAGAATTGAAATCCTTGACTCTCTGTGTATGTATGTGTTTACTTATAGCATACCACCTCTCCATCATGAAAAAAGCTTGCTTTTTTGGCCAGAAGTTTCCTAGTGTCCTGTTGTCTACCAGCAAAATACTTCCAAGTCAGTCAGTCTGGCAGATAAAACATCTTAGTCTTAGTTAGGGATGTATCCAGGACTAGTGTAAACAGGCAATTGACTTGGATTTGGTATGCTGACCTGAAGCATTTGACTAAGCAGTGCTGTGTGTTGTTGGCTTAAGAACTGTCCATGGTATGAAATGAGAAATGTCTGTAAATGATCAAAACTCTGTGAAGGCCCTGCAGGCTCTTATATTTATCAGTGGCTACTAGCGCCACTTTAACACTTGTTTCTAATCAAAGGTGACTACCACTGGGTGGAAGAGGCTTTCAAAGCCTCTGGCTGCTCTCTAGGGAGGAATTTAATTGTCAGTAGAATGATTTTAATAAACATCAAGAATCTCTAAGACTACTTCGGCTTTGGCTACTGGCCAAGTGTCCATCTTCAGGAGGGAATTGATCTCAGCTGCTGTGACCTGAAGGTATTTTTAAAAAGCCAAAGGCATTAACGAAGTCTTCCTGAGCTGGCAGGCAGGAATGACCCAGGGAAACAAGGCCTGACACATGTCATCAGCCTGGAAAAAGTGGAGTTTGGACTTTAATGATGACTCATTGTGAAAAACCCAGAAGGAATC